CTGCTGTTTTTGTTGGGGATACTTCTGTGAGATTGAGGAGCTAGCTTCCACCTTGTTACTCTCGACCGAGTCCGGTGCTGTGGCGGCGGGTCGGCACGAGGAAGGAGCGCCAACGAGCGCCTCGGCAACGAAGGTTGGTGCCAGTGCGGATGAATCCGCCTTAGACAACTGCGTAGGGTCACTGACAACGGTCATGGCAGCGTTTGTGGAGTTCAGGGTGTCGCTCACCTGCCAGATATCCGATGCCAGGCCGGAGGGACCCAGCAGTAGTGTGTCAGTTACCTGGGGGTCGAACCCAAACTACAATTAACAGAAATAAAAGAGAGAAAGATTCAGAAGCACAGTTGAGGTACCGTAGGTCTTCTATCTCATGAAATGTCAACCGAAATTCTGCCTACTAAAACCAATTGCAACTGCTCTGTCAAGGCTCAAAGCAGAGCGGGACAGATGAGCTCCATTAGCGGTCAGGTGGACGTTCATCAACGAATTCTGAACTGTGTATTCGAATCGAACAAATTACTAAAGCAGCGTTGTAATATTGATTAACATGCAGACCGATGCCCAAATATTTACGTCATGTCATAATGCCAGCGCTTGGCCGAGCTTCTTTCCGGCTGCCTACAAAAAGTATACTCTGGTTGATTGCGCAGGGTGCATTTTTCTAAATGATTTTCGATGCCCTTGTAAACCAAAATATACTTAAATAGAAACCATGCACAAAGTATTGTCTCTTGTTTTGAAGGGAAATTATGCTTTCTTGAAATTTTATAATTGAAGAAAGGATACCTTTTGGTTTCAAAAGAAAACTATTAAAATTGCCGAATAATGTTGAACCAAACCGAACATTTGATTTGTATGAAAAGGTTCAAAACCACATCCTGTGTACATTCTGTATAAGGAAAGCCACACACTTATCTACCTTAGGCAGAAAAGGTTACATAGTGATAATAAAACTTCATAATTGCTGTTGATCCTGTCGGATACTTTATGGGTAATGTCAATTGATTGACGGATGCGATGTATGAAGGATGAACATTTAAAGGTTCTAGAAAATCTCATAATTACAACCTTCTTTTAAAACTGAGGGATACCCTTTCTTCGTGTATAACATTTGGAGCAGACGTAGAACAGCAGAACAAGTGAATACACGAAAGAGCATTTTCTGCATTTTTTCTATATAATATAGTTGAATTTATGAAGGCATTGAAAATCAACTAGGACCATGCATACTACTTAAGTAGCTATGGTTTGCAGGGCGCATTTTGCAGGTAGCTGGAAAGAAGCTCGGCCAGCAGCCGGCATCCTGACATGACTGACTTTACTGAAAACTAGTTACTGTATCGACAACAGAAGGATTCCAAAATCACAAGTCAGGGCAGACGGAACAGCTTTGCCGTACTAAAGTAGTCTTACAATAGCCACCGCAAGCGCCGCGTACAAAACAACTCGAGTCCGCTGCTGCGAAACCCTGAGTACAGAGCGTGTCGTTAGCTAATTAGGTGACACGTGCGCCTCAGGAGTTGACTCGACCGAGAGCATGGGAAAGACAGGACATCACGGGTCTATCGCAGCGATTGCCAAAAAAGGTGTGGCGGGGGTTGTCAAGTACGGGTACAGAAAGACTTGGCTAGCGAAGAGAGTATGAGTCAGCGCTGGGCGCGCGGAGTACTGCGCGGTAGCCAAAAACTTGAAGAGTGAGAACGCAATGAATCAGCGCAGCAATACCCAATGCAGGCTGCCACAACTTATCTTGGCATTAGGCTGCATGATAATCATTACTACAACCTGATTTAAGTAGTCTTTTTTTTATTCGAAAACATGTTTCAGGATCTCGTTGGGCATTTAATGAGATGGGGCTTCCACTGTAAAAGTATATGCAGACGGTTTAATGGAAGCCTGTCATGCCTCCTAATATATTGGAGTTAGAAAGTGCTCTGGAGGGAAAATCTGCTACCCCTGTTCAGTCTAGCTGCCAAAACTCATCAAATGACCTTACATAGGAGGGTTCCACGCAGACGCCCTCCATGGCGCGATCAGACGTA